GTAGTATATGCAGTAGCAGTAGTAGTATTTGTAGTAGTATTTAGCAGTAGTATTTGCAGTAGCAGTAGTAGTATTTGTAGTAGTATTTACAGTAGTAGTTTTACAGTAGTATTTGCAGTAGCAGTAGTAGTAGTAGTATTGCAGTACAGTAGTATTTACAGTAGTATATGCAGTAGCAGTAGTAGTATTTACAGTAGTATTTGCAGTAGTATTTGCAGTAGCAGTAGTAGTATAGAGTACATTTGTACCTTGTTGCTCGGCTGAGGCGCAGTGTGAGACCAGAGCAGAAACTGCAGGAAACGTGATGGAGGAAAGCGCCGCGATGGTCCCCGCCGCCCACATCATCCTGACAGTACACAAGAGTACACACAAGAGTACTATCAGGTACTTTTATATCAGGTACTAGTATTTCTACTACATCACTCTACACCCATAACTACATGAATGAAATAGTACAGAACTATAAACTCTACAAACACATGAACAACACAGTACATATACATATATCACAGTATATCACAGTACAGTGTGGAGTATCACATGTACATACAGTTTATATAAAACCGTACCAGGGCTGTGATCCGAGGCCGTACCAGACCAACTGCACGATCTGAAACATCAAACCCAGAAGAACTGTACGTTTGTTCCCAATGGTTCTCATCAGGACGCTCAGCAGCACCGTCTGCGGACAAAAAATACTGCAACTGAGTACTACACGACACAAAGAGTACTGCACACGAGATTACAGCACCGTCTGCGGACACAAAGAGTACTACAGGTGAGTACTACAGGACAGAGAGTACTACAGGTGAGTACTACAGGACAGAGAGAGTACTACAGGTGAGTACTACAGGACAGAGAGTACTACAGGTGAGTACTACAGGACAGAGAGAGTACTACAGAGTACTACACAGAGAGTACTACAGGACAGAGAGTACTACAGGTGAGTACTACAGGACAGAGAGTACTACAGGTGAGTACTACAGGACAGAGAGTACTACAGGTGAGTACTACAGGTGAGTACTACAGGTGAGTACTACAGGACAGAGAGTACTACAGGTACAGGTGAGTACCAGAGGTGAGTACTACAGGACACAGAGAGTACTACAGGACAGAGAGTACTACAGGTGAGTACTACAGGACAGAGAGTACTACAGGACAGAGAGTACTACAGGTGAGTACTACAGGACAGAGAGTACTACTACCAGAGGTGAGTACTACAGGACACAGAGAGTACTACAGGACAGAGAGTACTACAGGTGAGTACTACAGGTGAGTACTACAGGTGAGTACTACAGGTGAGTACTACAGGTGAGTACTACAGGACAGTGAGTACTACAGGACAGAGAGTACTACAGGTGAGTCCTACAGGTGAGTACTACAGGTGAGTCCTACAGGTGAGTCCTACAGGTGAGTCCTACAGGTGAGTACTACAGAGTGAGTCCTACAGGTGAGTACTTCAGGTGAGTACTACAGGACAGAGAGTACTACAGGACAGAGTGAGTACTACAGGACAGAGACTACTACAGGTGAGTACTACAGGTGAGTGTACAGCGCCGTCTGTGGACAGACAGGGCAGTGCAGGTGAACACACTCTGGAGGTTGTTCAGGACTCATAGAACTGTAGTTACACGAGTATCGTTAGTGTAACTCTTAGGACCTCACACACACACACACACACACACACAAACATGAGACGGACTGTTCTGTACAATTTTCATCCACCGTCCTGAAGTCCTGAAGATCAACAGTTCAAACCAAACCCAGACCCGTGTCCTTGGGCAAGACACTTCGTCCAGAGCCCGTGTGGCGTTTGAACGAGAGCGGGACATGGTTCGCAGCACGTTTCATGTTTGTTCTTTAACACACATTATAAAAATACATGTTATAAAAACACGTGTGTCATGTTCTAACAGTGTTTTACCTGAGCGATGATGGACAGGATGCCCACCATGGCGATGAAGGCAGCGATGGCGGCCGGAGTGAAGTGGATCACCTGAAAACACAACAGAGAACACAGAGACATGAGGGAGGGCATCTGGAGTAAAGAGCAGCACAGCCACAGGAGCAGTAGTATTTGTAGTATTTGTAGTATTTTCTGACCTGTTTGAGGTAGAGGAAGAAGCTGGAGTACTGTCCGGCCTCGGGCAGATATGAGAGGAACACGGTGACACAGATGAGCAGGACTGTGGGGTCTTGTCCCACACGACGCAGAGACTGAGGACGACAGAGACGCATCAGAACTTCAGGACGACGTGTGAATGAAACAAAACAGCTCCAGGTCTGGTTTTGTGCGGCTCAGACTCACGTTAAAGGGGTCGGCCTGTTGCCAGGAGAACTCGGTGGCTCGGATCTTGTCGGGCAGAGACTCCGGCACCAGGAAAAAGACGAAGGCGATGTCGAGCACAGAGATCACCGTGGCGACCAGCACCACCACGCTGTCGTCGAAACGCTGGGACAGGAACGCGCCGATCGCCGGAGACGTGACCAGGGACGCCGCAAAGGTCGCAGACACCTACAGAGAGACCGGGACTGAACCGGGACCGGACTGAACCGGGACTGAACCGGGACTGAACCGGGACTGAACGAGGAGAACTAAACTACCAGAACTAAACCACCAGGACTAAACCAGATCTAAAACAGGACTGAAACAGGATTCAAACCACAAGTGAACCAGGACTAATCCAGGACTAAACCGGGATTAAACCAGGACTAAACCAGGACTGATCCAGGGTTTAAACTAGGACTTAAATCAGGGTCAAACCAGGACTAAACAAGGACTAGGCCAGGTCTAAGTAAGTACTAAACCAGGACTAAAAGCAGGACTACAACCAGGTCCAAATCAAAAGTAAACCAGGACTCAAACCAGCACTCAACTCGGTCTAACACAGGATTGAACCAGGTCCAAACCAGGACTAAAAGCAGGTCTACAACCAGTCTACATCAGGTCTAAACTAGGACCAAACCAGGACTCAAACCAGGACTGAACTAGGTCAAACACAGGACTGAACCAGGTCTAAACCAGAACTAAACCAGGACTACAACCAGGTCCAAATCAAGACTAAACCAGAACTCAAACCAGGACTCGAACCAGCGCTCATACCAGCACTGAACTAGGTCTAACCCAGGACTAAACCAGGTCTACATCAGCTCTAAACCCGGTGGTACTGACCAGTCCGTAGGCCGTGCTCCTCTCGTGTTCCTCGGTGATGTCGGCCACATACGCGAAAATCACTGAGAACGTCACAGAGAAGATCCCAGAGACGGAGATGAGGGCGAAGTACCACCTGAAAACACAAGACAACACATGTAGTCCGGTCATGATACTAAAGAACAGAGACGTGATACTGATTCTGATACCAGGATGATAATAAAAACACTCTTTATTTAGACAATATACTGTGATTTTTCCACATTAAATGGTCGTACTTTATTTTCTTTTCCCATGTGGTTTTATATCTGTGTAATCCCTTGGTCTATTGACACGTTTACATGACAGCTTCAATTCCAAATAAAAAATAATTATGCTTTAGAAAAGACCATATAAACACTTAATTCCTAATGAAAATGATTATTCAGAATTAAGTTTAATCCCGTAGTAAGTGTGTGGTTTATTCCGGTTTCAAAGCCGAATTAATTTATTCCTCCATCATGTAAATGTTTATTCTTCTTAAAAATAATTCCGGTCGTTCAGTTCCTACTCGTTGTGTTGCCCTTTCTCCATCTGCGGCGCAATTATCAAAAAAAAGTTTGGATCATGATTCATGTTTGTGTCTGTGGAGTAACGACAAACCGAGAAAAGCCGGTAGCAGCTGAAGTGTGTGTTTTCTTCCAGTCGACGTAAATAAAGGCGATTTAACATGTTTTCCATGTAAAACTTCAATTTGGAATTATTATTTCCATGTAAACTCGAAGGAGGATATTTTAATTTCGAACTTTTTAATTCAGAACAATTAATTTGGAATTTAAAAAACATCATGTAAACATGGTCTATCTGCTCTTATATTTGTTCCGAATACAGCTCTTTTTTTTTTTTTTTTTTATGGATCCAAGCTAAACCAGACTCTGTACTGTAGTTTTGTCCTTGTGGTGGTGGAGCGTGTGATGAAGCAGATCAGAGGCTGTTGGAGTTTACCTCCTCGAGCTCCAGAGTCACATGAGGCTCACGAGGATCAGACTGAATGTTTCTCAAGACTTTCACACAGAGACAGAGGAGGAAACGGAGGCCAGAGAAGGACGCTATGACTTTTGATTAAATCTCAGTTTAATTAAGTATTTAAGCATCTTTGAATGTCCAAACAAAAAAACACTATATATCTGCTCCATAATTACCATTATTATTAATATTTAAGGTTAATTTTCCTGACAGAGGAGTGACTGTAAATCTCACGACTCAATCTCTCTCTGAATAAAACAGCCTCACTCCACAGCACTGTTGCCTCAGAATAAATAAACAATAATTTTTGTTCTTTTTTGTTCTGGGGGCTGAATTTTCCATTTTCTGTATGAAAGTAGTGTTCCTGCGGTAACACAGAGCAGCCTCCCTCTCACAAACAGAAGCTCCACAGAGCAAAGACGGCTTTGGATATGAACATTTGTCCACAAAATTCTGGACTACCGTTAGGACTATTCATAAGTTAATGTGATGTAATGTAATGTTTGACATGGAAAATTACTCTGGCCAAACCTCTGGACAGGATTTTTGACCTGCAGCAGCTCTTAAAAAGCCAAATTCCACAAGAAAACCACATACCGCCAACACTGTGGAGGATCATGAACCTGGGCTGATTTATATGTCTCATCTTTTAGCTGCGTTAGCTCAGTCAGCTGGTGTTTGTGCTGTTAGTTTTCTTATCATGTTTGTACCAGGGGATGAGCCTCATGAAAGAGAAGGGGTTAAGGATTTTTCTGTCTTAAACGACTTTTAAACATGCAACAAAACTGCACCCCACAGACACGACGAGAAACTGATGAGACTTAAGGCCCCGTCCACACTAGTTTGTATTTCGAAGTTGTTTTCGTTGTGGATGTAGTGTTCGTTCACACTAATCCGATTGAAAATAACTCCAGAGACGGAACAATCTGGTGCCTCCAGCTCCCACGAATTCATCTGAGTACAGATCTGATCCAGCACTGTGTGGACGCCTGAAAACACTGATACTCTGACGTAGGAGCTCGAGTCTCGTCCTTATTGGACCATGTCACTGTGACTTGTGCCTTCCTGATTCTCTGGGTTCTTGACATCGCTCATGTGACGCTATTGTGTAAAACAGTTTAAACAAACCACACACAAATGGGAATCCGCAGCGCTAGAACTACTTGCACAGAACAGACTCACCATCAGCAGAACACCCCTCTGTCACAGAAAGAACACTCATATTCCACTGAGTCGTGTCCTTTAGTCCGACAGAAGCTGAACCGCATCAGCGACACAAGGAGCGAGCTGATATTTTGAGCGCTTAGTTTCTGCAAATGATCCATGTGGTTTTAAGTTTTGTTTCCGTAAAACGTAAACAAATATGCACAAAGCCGTGTGGATACAGAAGGCTTTGATTGCGGACACAGAAATGACGTGTCTGGATGCAAAACATTTCCGATACGGTGATACTGTGATACGATGATTTGTTTCAGTGTAAATGTAACCTCAGAGTGACACACGAGGAGAGCAGCGGCTTCAAAATAACACACAAAGACACAAAGTTGGATCACGCTTCCCTAAACTCACAGAGAAGAAATCGCACCCAAAGTCGGGCAAATCCTCCTGTAGTGTGTAACTTTAGCTGTGTTTAGTGGTTTGTTTTTACCAGGGGTTGATCCTCAAGAAGGGGATGGGGGCACAGGTGAAGAACACAGTCATCAGGAGAAAGGACTTCCTGCCCCAGATGTCGGAGAGAGCGCCGATCAGCGGGGCGGACAGGAACGACAGGAAACCCTGAGGAAACACAAACATCAGGGTTCAGTCTTTCACATGCGTCTGTACGATCAGATCTGACGTCACGTGCTCCGGTCCGGTCAACGTGAATGTGGCTCTGACCTTTACTCCCTGGATCAGTCCGTTCATGAGAAACGTGTGCTGCAGGAACGTCTCATTGAGGACCTGAAAGAGAACAGGTTATTTAATCAATAAAATAAAAATGTTAAAATAAAATAAAAAGTATTAAAATAAAAAAGTATTAAATTAAAATAAAAAGTGTTAAATTAAAATAAAAAAGTTAAATAAAAAGTGTTAAATTTAAATAAAAAAGTTAAAATAAAAAGTGTTAAATTAAAATAAAAAAGTTAAAATAAAAAGTGTTAAATTTAAATAAAAAAGTTAAAATAAACTAAAAAGTGAAATGTTAAAATAAAATAAAAAGACTAAAAATAAAATAAAGTTTTAAAATAAAATAAAAAGTGTTAAAATAAAATAGTGTTAAAATAAAAAGTGTTAAAATTAAATTAAAGTATTAAAATAAAGTGTTAAAATAAAATAAAGAGTTAATAAAATAAAATGTGTTAAAAGAAAAAAGTGTTAGAATAAATAAAAAAATGTAAAAATAAAATTAAAAATAAATAAAATGTGTTAAAATAAAATTAAAAATTTTAAAATAAAATTAAAAATAAATAAAATGTGTTAAAATAAAATAAAAACAAAATAAAATAAACAGAGGCCCACGCAACTCATGCTGTGTTAAAAGCGTCTGTATAATCCTACGGGAAATTCATGTTTTTTTCAAAGAAATCTCCAAACTTCTGTTACATAATTTCTCCTTCTCTTTATTTGTTCGGGATCGGCTACGCAAACTCGTCATATTAATCTTATAGCTTAAAGTCCTTTCATCTAAACGAAATTACGTCTTTGGAGTTGAATAATGTTTCTGAGGCCTTTGTGAAAGTGTCTGACCGTGAGCATGGGCGTGGTCAGGAGGCCCCAGGCGAAGAACTCCAGGAAGATGACGATGACGGCGTGAGTCACTGTGGCCCGACCCCGCTGTAAACACAAACACAAACACAAGCTGTAAACAAATAAACAAAAACAAGTAAATGAAATACAAACATGGGGGTTCTCCATAAAGTGAGCTACAGCCAAACCCGGGCTTATTTGGGCGATCCAGGCTCATCAAATCCTCATTTCCGTTCCAACAAACTGACTGAACCAGAGTTGACGTTGAGTTGCCGTAGTAACAGTTACACGATTGCTTTTGTCCCAGATAAATCCAAGAGTTTCAGTGCGTGCCATACAAACAAGAAGGTGACGAACTCCCAAACAAAAAGTTACGTAATGCACCTTTAAAATGATCTCAGACAGGAGTGTGCAAAAATATCGACATATCAATATATCGTATAGTTTAATGTGATGATACAGTATCGATATTGTGGTATCGGAGTATTTTTTGGTATATTTTACTAAATTGTTTTGTTACAGCTACAGATTTTATGTTTGTTTAGAGGAAGGAAACTCATTTATGCAACATATTTCACATATTCACTGTTTAGATGATTAAAATGTTTGTGTTTAGGGCTGGGTATCGTTAAGAAGTTATTTTGAAACACAGGCCACGATACGACACATATCTTGATACAGTGAGCCTTCGATTTGATATATTTCAAACTGATTCGATACAGTTCAATAAAAACAAAGGTTAAATGATGGCTGTGACACTACAAGTCTTTGTTAAACCACGTCTTGTGCAAAGTTCATATGAAACACAAATATTTTAATCATCAAAACAGTGAAAATGTCAAATGTGTCGCATAAACGAGTTTCCCTCCACGAAACAAGCAACAAAACTGTAACTGTAACAAAATAATTTTGTAAAATATACTAAAAATACAAAAAAATATTCAATATTTTTGCACACCCCTAGTGCACTCCAGGCAGAGCAGTGACATCTCCATAAAAACAAGAAAGTGACGAACCCCCAACCAAAAAGTTACATAGTGCAAAACAACAGAAGCTAACAAATTAACTATGTCCATTTACAGTACGTAAATATTGTATCATTTAATGTGATGATACAATATCGATATCATGGACTGCTGTATCGATATATCTCCAAGAGTATTATTTGGTTTGGCTCTGAGCCCCGATGAAGACCTTTTGGGTCGAAACATGTTGGCTTTGGCCATCTAAATAAATGCTTTTTAACTATATTTTTTCTTGTGCAATTTTTATTTCTTTGGAGTGCCTGGAGTTCACTGTGTTTAAAGTTTTGACCCTTTTTCCATGAGCATCCTCTACCTGTTCCCACTACTTGGAACACCTGCAGCATACAGCCACATTTTGGATTTTTCACTATTTTTTGGTATATTTTACTAAATTATTTTGTTACAGCTACAGTTTTGTTGCTTGTTTAGTGGAAGGAAACTCATTTATGTGACACATTTGACATATTCACTGTTCTGATGATTAAAACGTTTGTGTTTCTTATGAACTTTGCAAGACTGTTAGTATCACAGACAAGATTTAGCCATTATTTTTTTATTCAACCACATGGAATCGATTTGAAATATATCGTATCGAAATGAAAGCTCACTGTATCGAGATTTGTATTGTATCGGCAACTTCTTAATGATACCAGCAATAATCTCAGACATACACGTTTCAATCAAACATACAGACACATCGTTCAAATAAAACAACAACAGCTAGAATCAGGTTAACTACGTCCATTTCCGGTCTACGAATTGGACTCTGAGGAGGAGCTGGTTTTCACTCTTTCATCACGTCCGTCTTCCTCTCCGTCAGTCTCAAATCGCACACACGTACGGACTGATCTGATTGGCTGATTCTCTTTACATGCGGCGAGTTCCTTTACAGCTTCACTTTTACTCTCAGCGCTGCAGGACACACAGTTAAATCACTGAAGACAAATTATTTCCGCTTCATTCTGCCTCCATTACAGACTTATGCACATTGTGATGATTCTAAAGGCTCTGTTAGTCTCAGTTCTCTAGGCCTTAGTGCGACTTTTGCAAAAGATCAAAACACACAGACATCACAAACACGGGAAATACGAGACCTGCGATCAGAGGAAACACTGCACTTCCTGTTATAGTGACTTCACTTCCTCTTCATCAAAGCACAAAGTCATACCTGCTTCGTGTTCACTGTTCTGTCTCGTTCTCTGGAATTTTCATCGGAAATCTCCAATCAAATCTACAACACCATCAGCGACCAGCTCAATTCTCCTGCTGCATTTATCCAGCCACAACAAAAATAAAATAAAAAGTGTTAAAATAAAATAAAAGTATTAAAATAAAATAAGTGTTAAAATAAAATAAAAAGTGTTAAAATAAAAAGTGTTAAAATAAAAAACTTAAAATAAAAGTAAAATAAAATAAAAAGTGATAAAATAAAATAAAGTGATAAAATAAAATGTGTTAAAATAAAATAAAATGTGTTGAAAAATAAAAACTTAAAATAAAAGTAAAATAAAATAAACAATTTTAAAATAAAATAAAAAGTGCCAAAATAAAGTAAAAAGTGTTAAAATTTATTAAAAAGTGTTAAAATATGATTCGTGTCTGGCAGACGGAGCAGAGCTGCTGTTCTGTCTCGTGCTCTGGAATTTTCCTCGGAAATCTCCAATCAAATCTACAAATGTTTTTTCCCCTGAGCATTTCTATCAGTGACAAACTTCATTCTCCTGCTGCATTTATCCAACCACAACATCCGGGAGGGCATCTGACACACCACAACATCTGCAGATTAACTCAGTCTGACACTACAGGGACACAGGAGGACGGGAGGGCATCTGACACGGGGATATTAGGTGGTGTTAATGTGGAGTCGTGAGTTTATCGACAAACAGACAAAATAAACAAAGTTAAAAGTTCCCCCGAGTCACAGACAACAGCAACAGCAACAGCGAGAAGTGGTGACAGAACTCTGGTCCAGTCCTGGTTCAGTCCTGGTTCAGTCCTGGTTCAGTCCTGGTTCAGTCCTGGTTCAGTCTGGACTATACAAAACTACAACAAAAACACTGCCACTATTAAATCAAAATGTCAAAAGAGAATAAACTATCAATAACACACTTCAGCCTTCAGTTACATTACTGTGGTTAGAAAAGTCTGTTTGTTAAAGTAAATCTAGGTATTTGACTTTATTTTACGTGTTATAACATTGTTCTGTCATCAAAAACACGCCTGAAGAGGTTTTAGATTTCATCCATGTATATTTCAATCATTTAGCGATCTCTAATGGAAGATCATTTGTTTCATCAGATTTTTTATTTTAAACACCGCTGACTTTGAAACAAGATTTTTGAATTATTTTTATTCTTAATTTTAGATGCTGAAATTTTAAGTGTACTTTATCAATATATTTCACATTCAAAATGGCATCTTGGAATTTTTTTTTTTACACTTTGAATTTTGACTGTTGAATTTGAGGCTTGAAAATATTTGTGATGAATATTTTTATTTGTGATGAATGTTTTTTATTTTTTATTTTAAAAATTCTAAATTGAATCTTAAACAGCAACTAAAATTCAGAAAAAAAATGTGTTTTCAGAGTTTAAAAATTCAAAGTGAGAAATTCAGCAGTATTTAAAATAAAAAATCAAAAGGAACAAATTATCTTCCATAATCTCTCTCTGGCTCTATATACAAGTAAGACTCAATGATACAAAACTGTGTACGACAACTTCACAAACCTGACGCGATGTGCAGTAGTTTCATTAGTGGGATGCACGCTGATTGTGTTGTGACAGATTAGTGTGACCAGACGTCCCTATTTCCCTGGGACAGTCCCAGTTTTGAGCCTGTGTCCCCTGCTACAGCAGATTTATACAAAACCAGTGATTTGTTTTATACAACAAACGTCCCTGGTGTCCCTATTTCGAAACAGTTTGATCCCTGCCAACAGTAAATAGGCATAAGTTGTCATTTGTTTAGATAAAATACAGAAAAGCTGCTTAAAAACGACCAAAACACAAAGAAAACGTGACTGCGCCGATTCACATTAGTGCCGAGTTCAGAACAATTCTCCTTAATTACGCACGTGTTTCACAATTTTTTACCAAACAACCCAAACCAGGGACGTCTCAGTTTTTTATTTTGAAAATCTGGTCACCCTATAATAGAGCTCTGAAGGGGGCATGACTTAGCGCAGAGAGAAAAGGGAGTGGAGATTGAAGAGCATCGAAAACGAAAGTGAATCTCAAAAAAAAAAAAAAAAATAGAAGGTGACATGGTGACCTAAATATGTTAAGTGTGTTACAGTTAATTTGATCCTTGCAGACGTTTGTTGCAGATTGGGAACACGGTGGACTTTTTAAACTGTAAAACTTTCCCATAATCCTTCACGAGTGAATGTCCCAGCATTAAAACACGTTTAATCTGAGGTCAATGTGATTAGAGCGTGAAACACCCGCGCAGCCTACTTCACTCTACGACTCTCAAGAAATGACAACCACTTTACCCCATTGTGGATAAATATTTACACACTTTTAAATCACTTTTACACGCACAATTTTAAGGACTGCTCAAAAATAATAAAAGTTTTCTTGTTTGTTAGGTTTTTTTTTTCGTTTTTTTTGTGAGAGCAGTTTGGAGTTTTATTTTGGTAGCTTTAATTTCCGGAAGGTTTCTCGTGTGGTCTAGACAATGTAATGTACAGTACTATAAACAATAACACTGCTAGAGGCTTAAGAATTTATATTCACAGGGCTCAGCGTGCGTAATGTCTGCGTAAGGAATTATACAAATGTAGAAAAATAATAAATACATTCACATTTTATATTTCAGATTCCATATAATGTGCTGTTGTTTTCACGGCTATGGGATTTGTGCAGTAATTTAGAGAATTTATATAAGACGACAAGAGGGACTGAAATACAAATTTGGGTTTCTGACTAGAAAATTGACAGCATTTAACAGATATATATATTTTTTGCAAGAATATCTATCTCAAAGACACCAAAAAGTACATGCTTTATATTCAATTTTCTTTTTTTTGAGCAAGGTACATTACAAAACATTAGGATGTGTATATGTACATGTTTGGGGCCATTTCCGACGCTCAAAAGGAGTAAGTTGTTGAGTAGTTTGGATTAAAAAACATATCGTGTGTAACCCTAACCCAAATTTTTCCAGTTATTTATTGAAATTCAAGTCGTGCAAGTCCAATGAAGCGCTTGAAATGACACAAAGGTACGAACTGAACAGCCAGAGGTTAAAAAACAGATTATGACTCAAACCATAAGTCCAAGCTCTGCCAAAACTACCTCAGGACAAAAGAACAAGATGTTAAAACTTGAAAATATGAAGTGTCCAGCAGCACAGTGTCCAGACTTAAACTCCATCGAGCTGGTTTGGGATGAACTGGACAGAAGAGTGAAGCGACCTACAAGTGCCACACATTTATGGGAACTTCTGCAAGAGACTTGGGAAGAACTTTCTGAACAATATTTGATTTCTATTGTAGGAAGAATGAGTCATGAGGGTGTTCAGCTGTTATATCTGCCAAAAGTGGCTACTTTGAGGAGTCAAAAGTTTAGTATACACTTTGGTCTATAAACTGATTCCATGGTTTCTTTTTCAACTCAAAGTGCCTCCACTCAATTTCATTTCTCTCCAGCGACTAGGTCAGGAATCAGAATACACTAGACGGTTTGCAAGAACTCTGGAAGTGCGAGTTCGGACACCAGTCAATCAGCGAAGAGACAAACATTTTGTGTTGTCAACAATTCCCGAGATCGAGGATTTAGAGCCAGAACAAAGAGAATGTTCGGTGAATTTTATCAAGAGGAAAGACGTTATTGCCCTTCTTCCTACGAGATTTGGGAAAAGCTTAATATATTAGTTACTCCCGTTAGCAGCAAATTACATACATCATGACCAAACAGCAGTAATTAAATTAAAAAAAAGTTAAATAAAAAAAGTACCCCCGTACTCTCGAATGAATTAATCCTAATGCTGCGAGGTTAGACAGTTTCTACGCAGTGAAACCGGCTGATGAAACAGTCTAACTTCAGAAAAATTATGAATAATTTTCTGTAAAAAAGTGGAAAAACTGTCGGGTTCTAAACCTTTTCACTGGTAGTGTACGTACATATATATTATAAACATATATACTAGGGTTGTGCAAAAATATCAAAATATCGATATATCGTATCGTTTAAAGTGATGATACAGTGTCAATATCGTGGGCTGCTGTATCGATACATCACCAAGAGTATTTTTTGGTATATTTTACTAAATTATTTTGTTACAGCTACAGTTTTGTGGTTGTTTAGAGGAAGAAAACTCATTTACGCGACACATTTGACATTTTCACTGTTTTGATGATTAAAATGTTTGTGTTTCATGAACTTTGCACAAGAAGTGGTTTAACAAAGAATTTTAGTATCACAGTCAAGAGCCTTTAGCCTTTATTTTTTATTGAACTGTATGGAATCAATTTGAAATATATCGTATCGAATCAAAAGTGCACTGTATCGGGATATGTATCATATTGTGGCCTATGTATCGAGGTATGTATTGTATCGGTAACTACTTAATGATACCCAGCCCTAATATATACGTGCATGCACAAATATATTTTAGTTTGTGGTCGTACAAACTAATAATAATGATGAAGAAGACACAAAATTTACCGTTTATGATCGTATTAAAATAAAAGATAATGAAAGAAACGCACGTGTTTAGTTAATAGTCGCGGCTAAAGGCTAATAGTGATTGTTTATTTACTAGCTAGGCTAGTAGTGATGGGTCGGTCGCGAACGAAGCGGCTTTTAGAGCCGGCTCTTTGAAGCGAACGACGGGAGCCTGCTCCTTATTGGGATTGGGAGTCGTGTTTTCTCTTTCTCTCACTTTTTTTCTCTTCACGCTGCGTGCAAACTCGTGGTAGTTTGACAGCGGCAGTGGCTAAAAACTAAACTTTCAGAAATATGCATGTGCATAGGATAAAAAAAACGTGCATAAATATATTCAGCATAAAATAAATAAACCAGGACTAATCTTGGGGTCGAGAGAGATAGAGACCGAGTCCCGACACTCAGTCCTGGTTCAGTTCTGCTTTAGACCTGCTTTAGACCTGCCTTAGTCCTGCTTTAGTCCTATGACATATCATGTAAAGAGGCAGAATAACAATAAATGTTGCCTAAATAAACCCAGTTTAAAATCCACAAGGGCCAAACCTAAGTTTTTTTTTATAAATAATTCAAGATTTAAAGTGAATTTTTACATCACTAAATATATCGGCGATTATATCGGCAGCTCCAACTCCCATTATATCGGTATCATATCGGCAACAACAAAATCCATATCGGTCGGGCTCTAGTATCAAGCTTTCTATTCACACACAAAAGATTTGAGATTCGTTTTTGTGTCAAACTTTTGGAAAATGTCGCATCAAATTACGGGCTAACGCAGATGTATTCATAAACAAAACAAGATTAACCGGTTTAAAATTATATCATTAAGTGTTTAGACGGTATTTAACGTGTCTATATTGTTGGATATTAATTTGACACAAGAGTAGATGAATAATTAATGATTGTAAAACGCATGTGGACGATGGTAATGCTGTTTTTACGCGTTAGAAAAACTTCCGAAGTGTTTATGTAAAGTGTTAGCTCACTGCGGCTAACCCGTCTTTAGCCGCTAATGTTTGTAGCATTTAGCTCGTTTAAAATGTCCAGATTTGGTCGTGAAAAGAGTTTAAAGTCCGTGGGAGAAGTTCACCCGAGTGTGGAGAGTCTGCTCCGGGGGGGATAATCCGCCCCGGGAGCCGAGCTAAAGCGGCTAACTCACCGAGCGGCGCACCGACATGCTGTGGCCGGCCTCGGACGCTGATTTCCCGCAGAGCATCTCACATGGTCCCGGTGTTCTGCTGCGGAGCGCGCGGAGGGAGGAGGACCGGGGAGCGAGGAGCGAGGAGCGGGTCGGTCTGTGCCTCTGTGCCCGCGCTCATCCGTCCCACAGCGGCCGGAGCGGAGTGCGGAGCCTCGGGGGGGGAGAGAGAGGAGGGACGTGTGCAGGAACTCTGACCGAGCATGAGGCACTTCCGCACGG